AACAATATTAGAATAACTGTTGTTGTGGGAGCTGACTTTTCACAATGTAATTAAAGTGATCTTTTACAAAGAAAATTAAAGAACCCTAAGAGCTATATAGGAGTTAGTAACTAGGACGTTTTAAGTACTTATAAAGGCTAGAAATGCTATTCATCTCGAAGGTCATTGTTTATATATATCAGTGCGACGAACACGTGGATCGTGCTAAATGCTGCAATGAGGAATATCTAACATGCATTTATGTACACATCAAATAATATATTTATCTTTTTCCTAAGACAAAAAGAATGGTTATTGTTACCTTTTAAACCCTCAAGTAGACGCATAGCCTTTTCATTTGTGTCATTGTATGGCAATATATAATACGAAGTTGGCTCAGGCAAGCTATACCTCTGCCTCCCAATTAAAATCCACACGGAGCAACAGAGAATAACGATTCTCTGATATTATAAACTTATTTATAGTTTACACGAGTCTGTTGATAATATAATATGTTCCTTTAATCTAAAGCGATACCTTACGGTTGACTCGAAGGGAATGCACTAATTATTTTATATTTTTAGTTGATAATTACAGGCCAGAGTCCCATTCGATCGTATGAAAATTTATTATGGTCATAAGATCAAGTAAATGCACCACTGACTTGAATTTGCAGTTTATATTTATTTTATATGTTACCACACCGAAAAAGAAAAAAGAAGCTTAAGATTTACTACCACTGAATCAACTTGCAATCACTTCACCGGAATGTGGCCATATTCTTATAAATACTATATAAGTAATCAACTTTATTGGTTATGTTTATATCTTGAGAACGAAGCTTGAGTTTAGCTTAATTTTTTCTTCTCTAGTGCTTGTCAGTATTACGAATTACTTTTTATTTTCTTTAGAAAAAGAAATCATATATGCAAGATTCTGATTAAAAAAATATATATTGCAATGATCAGATATTAATTAAGTTGCCAATATGATATTCTAATTGGTTCGTATTTAATTGCATGGTGACTGGAAGCAAAATATGATAAGTGATAACCATTGCTGATTCATGTTTCAATTCCAACAATGTCAAGCTGTACTTGCATAGAACCATGCCGCACCAAGCAACAAGTCTTTCTTTAAAAATTTAGTACAAGATGCTTAATTGATGAATATGCACAAGGTAGAATAATGGAACTGCAAAATCAGCTTTCGAATTGCATTACGTAGAGAACATCATCATGCTGTCAAAAAAGAAGATTTTAATGGCTCTGTTCGGGAGGAGGAAAGGACTAGGCTTGGTATAAGGCTCACAAAACACTTTGTCAGACTAAAATAGTAATAATGGCCACATAAAATATTATAAAGAATTAATTTAATTAATCCAAAAATTTAAGTTGGTAGATGAAGTTATAGTAATAATTTTATATATCTCTAATATGCCCTTTATACATAAACACATATGAATTGGTTCTTTATATCAGAGTCAATGATCCTAATGTCATGTGTTCAATCCTCACTACCTCAATTTTCTAGTGGAATTAAATAAGCACAAGATAAATAAAAAATTGATTATGTACAATATTCACACTTTAAGCTCAAATTAAGACTTTTGCTTAAGAGAATGCATTAGAAAACAATATAAATTATTAAAAAATTTCTAACCAAATACCTTAAAATTTTAGGTTAAATTAATTCTTTACAAACCTAATCAAATTTTCCTCGTTATAATAACCTGTTCTACAAGTAGCAATTCTTATATGACAATTCGTTGTACTCTAGTCTATAACATAACTCAAAGTTGACCATGTAACATACCTGGTCAAACATCCCGTCAAAGCTTTCTAACGTTCATTGGAAAATAGGCAGCCAACAAGCCTCACTCATTAATTGATAATAAATTAAGTGAAGTTTGTTGGAAATGGTACAGGGTGAGTTCAAAATCTTTGCAAATGTTTATTCATCAATGGGCAATTGAGAAACCATAATAAATGGGCTGACACCATATCTTAATCCAAAATCTTAAGGCTATAGGTTTATGGGTCTTTTACACTTATATGGTCCTCAATTGGTCTAAGTTTAGACTATGTGAGACTTACTTCACCACTACTCACTCACACTTGATTATTTCCAACATCCTCCCTCAAGTGTGTGAGGCCCAATATCATTCTTATCTTAAGGGCAATTTTTGCGGAAGTTTTTTTGTTTTTTTCTCTTCAAATATTAGGGTCACACTAGCCTTCTGTGAAGATCTTCCAAATACTTTTACAAATGGGGGAGAAATGGTACGAGGGAGCCCAAAACCTTTGCAAATAATTTATTCACCAATGGGCCAACTGAGAAACCACAATAAGTGAGTTCACACCACATCTTAACCCAAAACCTTAAGGCTATAGGTTTATGAGTCTTTTACACTTATATAGTCCTCAATTGGTTTAAGTCTAGACTATGTGAGACTTACTTCACCACTACTCACTCACACTTGATTATTTCCAACAAAGTTCCTATAAAATGAATGAACTCATAAACTCAATACTCTAAGATTTTGGGTTTAGCTAGATATAATATTAGTCCCACTTAATGTGATCGATGTAGCTTAATAATCTCCACCACAAGCTCCGGTGCCCGCTTGACAAATATGTGGGACATTTTTCATTTTGAATTTAGGCATGTTTCAAGGAATTTCAAAATTAAAGTGGAAAAACACTAAACAGCCCAAATGAATATATCACATTGCTGATTGGGGTGTACGTAAAACTCAAAAACGAAATTCCATAATTTCCAAAAAATATATTATTTTCTTAACTTGTACAAGGAGGATATTACCCAAAAGCAAAGAAGACGGGGAAAGAAGGACGTGAAATTAAATATGAAATTATCTATCCAAAAAAAATAAATATGAAATTATAAAGCAAAATCAAAAAATATATAGATCAATTTGAAAAGAAAGAAAAATGAAAGATGACACCGCTCCAATTCTTTTCGAAGCCTATTAGTTTATTTTATACTCAAGTGGCAATCAAAGAGTTAGTGTATTTGGATTGATTCCCACTAATTAAAATAAAATTAAAGTTATGCCATAGTGCTAAGCACATAAACTGCGATTGGCCTAGGCTTGTATATCTTTAAAGAAAAGAACATGAGCGTGAAAATAATACGTTCTCGTAAAATTTTTATATTTGTTCTTGAATTGTTTTTTAAAAAGTGAAAGTTATTCATTTCTGTTTCATGAGTCTTTTTTCTATGAATCAAGAAAACTTTGTTTCGAATTAATAACCAAAATAGCTCCTGGAGTTATCTTTGTTGTTGAAATAGGAGCAGATCATATATATAAAACAATCTGAATCAAATGAAAAAAATCATCAAAGGGCTTTTGTTTGCACTTGTGAGAAGGGAGTTAACGAAAGAAAGAAACTTGTAAGAACAAAGCTAAATTAGGTTATATGTTAATTTGGTGTTACATCAAAGTAATAATTTTATTTAAAAAAAATATCCAAAAGAATGTGTGTGTGTGTGGGGGGGGGGGGGGGGGGGGTGCATTTGGATGGTTCTATACTTCTATTGACAGCCTAGGGCGACATGGAACTTGGAATAGAGTGGTCTAATTCACATTTAACGTTCCCACTAAGAGCTCAAAAATCGAAATACAAAGACTTGCATTTTAGTGGTCTGCTTTGATGCAAATTGTTTTAGTGGAAAAGCTATAAACCCTTTTGCAAAAGAAAGGAATTTAAGAGGACCCAATGAATTCATCACCGGGTCGTCTCTCATCTACAAAGATCTTCTTTTCATATTAAGCTAACTAACGTTTTAGGAATTTGACGACGGAATTTACCGTTGTCATGTTTTATGTGATCAAATCCTATATGTATTTCACATTTTCTTTTTCGCATTTACGTTTCCACTCCCAAAGTAGTACTTCTCAAAGGATACTCGATAGACCATGTGAACTAAATGCTATTTGATGGAGATCAAACCTATTTGATGAGGACCTGCACTTAATTCAACCTAAATGCTAAGCTATTAAGTGTAGAGTCTGAAAAAGTTTTATTAACCAAACGCAAGGTGGTGTATAAGTGTTATATATATATATATATGGTATGATACATGATCTAAAATTGTGTGTAAAACACTAAAACCTGAACATGTAGAAACATTTATTACTTGCTCTTAAAAGCATAAGTTTTCTAATAAAGCAAATTTTATTGAAGTAGTTAAAAATTATTAAACCGCCGACGGTAATATAATATACAAAAAATCATCTCAAGACAAATAAACATAAGCCAGTCAGAGTAACCGTGAGAGCCTTCAAATCAAGCGGTGTAGAACTCTCCATGGGCCCAGCCGAAAAACATCCTAAAATATCAAACCTCGTATTGATTGACACTGGCAAACCCATTTTACTGTATTTAGTTGAAAATATCATTCTAATACCATCTCTAGAAGTAGTTACCTTAATAAGCTAGAATTTTTGTTATCTCCTGGTGTATGTTTTGTCCATATGATTATTTGGGTGGATGAGAGGGTGTTGTCGGTTAATGTTAGTTATTATTAATGTGGACATGTCTCAAACAACCAAACTCCTTTAACACTACCAGCACTCACCAATTCATATGTATATATATGTATATTTGTATATAGAACCCACCCCAATACAAAATCCCTTTTAACTTTCTTGCTGTCTATACGTTAGTTACTGTGTTTATGTCTTGCCACTCTCTTGCTTCCCGCTTTCTTCTCCATAATGAACAAAACCAAAGTTCAAACTCTTAGCCTCAGTTTATAACTAAAGCAGACCCTTAATTACAAGCCATACTGATTTGTTCATCAGAGCAATCAAATCATATTTTTATCTCATCTGCTCAGTTCTTACCTGAAGGGTGGCTTAGTAATTAATGAGTTTCATTGATTAACTGCCGAGAGCAAAACATGGCTTTATTTTATGAATTCACTTTGTCATCAAATTTTTGAAATTGTCCCCACACCCCTACCCTCACCCCCTTTTCAGGCTTTATTACTTGCTGTTCATGGAGGAGTACTTGAAGGAACGAGAAGGAAAAAGTGTCCATGATTATCACCAAGTAAAGATGGGTAAAGTGACAAGGCCTATATGGGTTCGGGGACCAGTGATAATAGGTGCTGGTCCATCTGGGCTAGCTGCTGCAGCATGTCTTAAGCAGAAAGGCATTCAAAGCCTAATCCTTGAAAGGGATAAATGCTTAGCTTCAATGTGGCAGCTCAAGACTTATGACCGTTTACGCCTTCATCTTCCAAAGCAATTCTGCCAGCTCCCTCTAATGCCTTTTCCCAAAAACTTCCCTTCCTATCCAACCAAACAACAATTTTTGGCATACTTGAAGGCTTATGCTGATCATTTTGATATAAAACCAGCTTTCAGGAAGACAGTGGTAAGTGCTGATTTTGATCATGGATGTGGGTATTGGAGGGTCAGGACTCAAGGTCTTAAAAAGGAGGAGACAGAATATGTTTGTCAATGGTTGATAGTAGCTACTGGAGAGAATGCTGAGAAGGTAGTGCCTCAAATAGAAGGAATGGATGAGTTTGAAGGGCCTATCTTACACACTAGCTCATATAAGAGCGGTAGTATGTTTTGTGGCAAGAATGTTTTGGTGGTTGGATGTGGAAATTCAGGCATGGAGGTTTGTTTGGATCTCTGCAACCATAATGCTCGCCCATCCCTCGTGGTTAGAGATACGGTGAGTGTCTACTTAAAATCTCATTATCTAAATCATACACAAGATCTACTTTAAAATAATAGAATCATTTTGTTTATACACATAAAAAATATATTTGGTGTTGCTCTTACTTTCAGTTGACTAAATCTGTTAAATCCAGTTAAATCTTCAGTCTAAAGGGTGCTTCGTGAGCCAATCTGATACCCCAATTGATGTAAGACACACGCTTCTGGCATAGTTTGAAACTGCAAAGTGAACACAGTCTGCTAATATATTATACTATAGTTTTTATAACAAAAACTCTCAAAGAAAAATAAAGAACTCTTAGCAAAGAGCTTTTGTCATTGTTCTCATGCTTTATTGGAATCCGTTTGCATGCGCATCCAATGTCAGCAACCCCAAATCTTAGATATTATGTTCTTTTCTCTGCACAGAACCATTATCAGTATTTACGGAAAATCTCTAGGAGCATGAAAAGATGATGGTTCTTTAGCACTACTCTCATGTCTAAAATTTCCTGAAAAAGGTTCTTTAGCACCTATTTAAATCTTTTTTTAATTAAATTTTAAATGTGATATTTTCTTTTCATTGCAGGTGCATATCTTGCCTCAGCATATGTTTGGGAAATCAACTTTTGGTTTATCTATGAGCTTACTAAGGTGGTTCCCTATACGTCTCGTGGATAAATTTTTACTTGTGATGTCACATCTCATGCTTGGGGACACAGCTCGATTTGGACTTGATCGTCCCAAATTTGGCCCTCTAGAGCTCAAGAACTTGTACGGCAAGACACCAGTTTTGGATGTTGGGACAGTTGCTCACATTAAAAGTGGAAAAATTAAGGTTAGGTTCTCCCCATACCCCAATCAAATCCAATAGGATTTTCATCATATTCTGTTTTATTTGTCATAATCAACCAACTTTTCCTTTTGCTTTAAGGTAAAGATTTAAAAGAAAAAAAAAATACATTTTTTCTGCTTCATTGTTTCCAGCATGATCTTGTCTAATATATATAGGTTTGCCGGGGAATTAAACTACTAACAAAGCATTCGGTGGAGTTCGTTGATGGAAATATAGAGAATTTTGATGCCATCATATTTGCAACTGGTTACAAAAGCAATGTACCCTCTTGGTTAAAGGTGCTTCCTTTAATACTGCTGCTAAATATGAATGAAATATAATTAACATATATTAATTGGGCTTGAAACTAATTGCAATCAGGGCACCGACATGTTTTGTGAGAAAGATGGGTTGCCACGGAAACCATTCCCAAATGGATGGAAAGGTGAAAACGGACTATATGCAGTGGGTTTCACTAAACGAGGCCTGCTTGGTGCATCTATTGATGCAAAGAGGATTGCAGAAGATATTCAACATAGCTCGAAAGCTACTCAGACCACGCATGTGTAGGAGTTCACCTTGTCCATTAGCATCATGTCAGAAACATACAAATGCTTAGACCCAAGACTTTGTATCAAAAAGGAAATTGAGGGGAAAAAAGAGAAGAAAAAAAGAAAGCATATACCAATAATATGTGTGATTCCTATATAAATATCCATTCACAAAACTACGGAGTTGGGTTACTTAGGTGGAGGAGTTGATTTGCATTTTACTTTAGTTTGATGGGTTTAAATTAATTAGGTGCTAGTCATATTATAGATTTGTCATTTGCATTACTTGTACAATGTACGTTGCCATATCTACCTAGCTAGTTAGTTGAATTCTTTGAGGAGATAGGGGCTGCTAGCTTGCAATGGTTTTCAATATTGATTAATTCTCCTTGGCTGTGATAATTGATGGTTGTAAACATACTTTATTACGTACGAGAGATGTCGATCATTTTGACCTGATTCTATAAATTATTGATCATAGATAATTTCATGCTTTATATTTTTTTTGGAGTTACCCAACCCTAATTACCTCTTTGAGGCGAGTTGGCTCCCTCCGGTATCCCCTTTGAGCCGGCTATGGGACTAATCCGGAGTGCGGGGGTCAGTAATGGCTAAAGGTTCAGCCCTCTCCCCAAAAATGCATTCAGCGGGAATCGAACACATGTCCAACCTCACTAACTCAGCGCCAAGGAACCAACTATTCAAAATAGAGAAAAATCCCACAGTATTAGATTAGGAAAAGGTCCCAATTCCTTCGAAGATGAAAGTGACCCTCTGGGTTATCTATAAAACTTAGGCATGCTAATCGATCTTGTCAGTATTTTACATGTAAATGAAAATAATCGTTATCTTCATTGCCTCATTGCCATGTCTTTTCCATTAGCTAGGGAGTGAGGAACTCGGACCACTTTTGCTATTGAAAACCCACAAAATATCAACCACAATTTGATTCAATTTTTGCCAGCGCCAAATCTTGGATGGGTTGGATAGATTGATCTAATAAATGATTGACAAGTCAGTGTTGAAAATTGAAGTCCAGTGCACATGTGTGCTGCATTCTTAAACGTTGAATTCAAAGATAAACGCAAATTTAATTCAAAGCACGTGCAATTCAAAGATGGTGTGATCATTACTGTCAAAAATTAATGTAAAAACGTAAAATTAAAATACAAGTAAAGACTTTCCTCGATGGTAAACACGTACAAACGGTAGAAACGAAGTTTTTATTATTCGAATATATTCGAATGACGTTTTTATTAATTTATTTACACAACTAAATATGATCACAAATACAAAATAAAATCAATTATATAATTGTTAAATTTTAAATATAATATTCTATTACATTTTATAAGAGTAAAAATAGATTAAATTAGATTTGATTTTGTAGACTTCATTGGTATTCCTAAAACAGGGGTTGCTGAGTATTTTTTCTTCATTTGCGTTTTGCTCTCCTTCATGTCGTTTTATGTTTGTTGATTAAACGCTGCAATTTTGCTTCTTCATATATACAAAACTGATATCCTTTATTTGACACAATTCGCATTCTACCTGATTGATATATCTCTCTCTTTGTCTTTCTCTCTCGTTCAAAAGGCACTCTGAAACCCTATCATAGGGTTTGCTGATTTCATCAAGAAATCAGCCCTTCGGTTTGGTTAATCTTGTGATTACCTGTGTGCTTCTTCTTCTCCTTGTGTGCACCTCTGTTTTCTCGTTCTCTTTTGCAGGATTGATTGAAGATCAAGATCAGGAGCGGCTGGGTTGTTCGCTCGGGACTTGGTGACTTTAATCCAAGATCGTAGAAGCTCACTAGTTCAGCTGGTGCATGTAATATCTGATACTTTGTGTGATATTGCATGCTACTGTGTGTTTTCTTTTCGTTCTTGTAATCTGATGCATGTCTAGATCTCTTAGGTGCTGTTCTTTAGAGTGTTGCTTTTGATTCTGAGTTGTAGATGTTTTATGTCTTTGCACATTGTATTGGGGTTCTGATTTAATGCAAGCTGATAAAGAGGATTTTAGCCATTTGTCCTTGATGTAGGAAACTTGCTAATAACAAGTTTCTGAACAAGTAAAAATATTGTGTCTCCTGTAAATTTTCTTCTGTTATCTTGTATCTCCACGATTAAATTTACAACAGATTTGCATATAAAAAAATTCAGTCGAAAATTTATTTGATATTTTATTATAATTTTTCGAAACAAAATTATTCAAATACTAAATATTTACATATTAAATAAAAAATTATGGTTACAGATATAAAATTAAAAAAAAAAAAGCGTGGATCATGGATATAATAATACCTGATATATATGCATTATCGAGGACTTTAAATAAATAAAAAAAGTGCCTGCATATCAAAGTTTTACCCCGCAACAAATAAGAATGAGTCCCTAATACTGAACTAAAAAAAGAAATAAATCTCAAATGATTTGGATTTTATTGAAAATGACAAATATACTTATTAAGGGAGGGGGTTAATTAGTTATTGTTTTAATATACATTAATATACATTGTTGGGGTGTTTTATTCCGACCGAATTGAGTTGGTGAACGGTGAACCCATAAGAATGGTTCTGTATGAAGACAACACGCTCCAGTGACCAGTGACCACCCTTCCCAATCCCAAGTACCAATCCTGCAGATAGACACTATCAGCATCAACGGTTTTCTTTTTTCGATGGTACAATCCAAGAGAGGACCAGCACAAGTGTGCCCTACAACTACTAATTATATATTGCCTTACCCATGACATTTCTTAATCACATCCTTAATAACGTGCTCTTAATTCCTCTTGTGCCCATCTTCTTTAGACCATTATGCTATCATTATCAAAATCATGATTCATCACTTCATCAACAAAAAGGAATAAATATAATAAGCATTTAAGGAAAAAGTTCAATGTTATACTTTTCGAAATTGAGAATGTTTCACCTCCTACCGCTAATGTTTCTTTTTTCAGCTAATATAGATTCCCACTAACAAATTTATATTATTATAGTTCCAGTTGCTTTTTATAGTTCCAATTGCTTTTTTCTCCCCCAAAAACATACGTAGTTTTTATTTCTCCTATCGCGTGAAACCAGCAAGGAAATAACATTCAAGGGATAAACCTAAAACAACTAATATAATGGGGATAAAAAAAACATTTTAGCTGCATCCAACTGTTTCTTTTATTCCATTCTGTCATGCTTTAATTATAGCTAGGAATCATTGACGTTTTAATGGAGCTATGGTGATATTTATTTTATTGACATTTCATAACCATCAAGTCTCAAATTATTCATCTAAACCCATAATTGTCGCAACTTATAAGATGAGTTTAGTGTTTGTTTTGTTATGGAGATAATGACATAATTTGTCGTTTGGGGAAAAGGAGGAGAAGGGGGGGGGGGGGGGGGGGGGGCGTATGGATTCTCTTACAGATACAAAGCAAATTCATATTACAAGATACAATTAAAAATTTTAAAATGTAGAGAATTTTTTTTGCGAATTCGGTTCGATTATATATAGGTGATAAAGTTTTTCCTACCAAATTTTAACTGCATTTTCAAGGATTTGAACTCGAGACCATCAATTTTTAGATTGATGTGTACGCACTTGAAATGTACCTGGTTAATTTAGATTAAAGAAGATTAGGAACCTATTTGATTGTATTCTGTTTTTCGTTTTCTTAAAAAAAATTTATAGAATAGTTAGTGAATTAGATGTTTTCTGTGTGTGTTTTTTGTTTTGTTTAAAAAGTTAAAAGTCAAAACACAAAATAAAAACAACTGAGATTCATGTGTTCTCTAAATTTGATTCTAAAAACTAAAAAACAATTATAATTTTTAAAACCTATTTGTAAAACAAATCTTATCAAACATATTTTTTTTTTTTTTTTGAAAATCAAAAACTATTTTTGAAAACAAAATTCAAACGGACCTATATTTTTTTCCCCATTTATTTGGATGAGTCTAATCCACGTAAAATGTGAGTATTTTTCTGACTGGCCCCGAGATCAATCCAAAGAACTTTCTTCGCTGCAGTCCGCTCTTTTAGCATAACTTCCTTACCAGGTGTGTCGCCCCTTGGAGTTGAGTAGATTATCATTTTTTTACTGAAAGATTAGGTTGACAAAATTAATTTGATAACAAGTTATTTCAACTTGCTATCAATAATAAAAAAAAGTAACTTATTTGTTTGCTCTTTTAGCTGGCAGACCGATTACGAGTCTATTTGGATCCTCTCTCTTTTTAAGTTAGAAGTTACTTTTAAGCTAAAGTTAAAAGCTGTTTGATTATTACATAAAAATTGTAGTTTAAAAGTTACTTAAAAGCACAAATTTCAAGAAAAGTCTCTCTCTCTATATCTTCGTTTTAAAAAAAGGATAGGATATTGTTATTATCAAATAATATGACTACCAATGTTACTACCGTATCTTAACCATTGATTTTCGTCAATCAACAGTTATCATTTAATGCAATTTAATAATTACTTAATGAGTTTAATTTATAAAAATAATAACCGGTTGATTGACGGAAATTAACGGTTAAGATATGATAGAAACATTGGTAGTAACATTATTTGGTAGTAACAATATCTTATTCCTAAAAAAATACACAATTCAAGAAAAGCTAATAAGAGCTTAAAAAAAAAGCTTCTCTTAGAAGCTTTTGGCTTTTTTCCATTATAAAAAAGAATTTTTCATCATAAGAGCTTTTCTCAAAACCTATTTGACCTAAATTCTGCTTATAAGGAGAAGATAAGCTAAAAATAAGATGATCCAAACATTCACTAAATCACGTTTTAGTAGGGGTGTAAATGAGTTGGGTCGAGTCAAGCTTTATCTTAAACAAGCAAAGATTATGAAAAATATTTTGAGCTTGGTTTGGATCATTAACCTGATACGAGATAAATTTTAGGCTTGGCTTGACTCGTTTATAATTATAAACTATATTTTTTTCAAACTCATATATGTCCAGAGGTTGAGACTATAAATGTATCAAATTCTGTATTCCTTCGTTAGAGAAAAATA